GGAGCGGTGGGATCTGCAGTGCTCAGTGACAGGATCTTACAAGCAATCCTAAAAACTCTCTTCTGCCCCAAAATATCTCAAATAGAGACTCAAGGTTTGGGATAAGCACTACAGGTTCCATTATCTATTAAAACCTGGTTATCCATGGGGCTAATATTCTGAGTCACGAACATCTTTCTATTTGATATGTCTTGATATTCAGGACAGCATCCCCAGAGAGACAGTGGCAGGAAGGTCAGGCTAATGGTTTTGTTTTCTTTTGGAAGGGAGGCTCTGGGCTGCTGGGACCCTCCCCTACTTCCACAATGTTGCTTACAGTATGTGGCACAAACAGCTGGCAGGTCTTCAGCATTGATGGCTACCGTTTTTTCCTGGGCACTCAGCCAGGCTACATTTCCCAGACTCCCCTGCAGGGGAATGTGGCCATGTGACTGAGTTTCAGCCAATTAAATTAGAACAGAGGTGCTCTGGGCCACTTCCAGGCACAGTGAAAATCCTTCTGGATAGCTGAAGACTACAACCCCAGGGCAATGTTGGAAGCCTCAGTTGATAATGAAAACGTGGCTGTCATATAGGTCCCTGAATGGCATGTAAAGGACTTTTTCTACAGTCAACCTGCACAAACAACTAGGGTTTTTACTCTTGTTCACTGTCCCAGCACCAGAACAAAGCTTGGCACATAGTATATATCATCCAACTTAGGACATCGCTGAACATAAAGCACACCATTATTTTATATACCCACATCTCGGTGGCAGAGTCCCTAGCTCTAGGCCCTAGGGTCCTGGTTCCTATGGCTGTTACTTCAATTCAGAATCCTTTCCAGCTTCATAAGCCAATGTGTTCTGTCATCACAACCACAAGTGTCCTGATGGGCCCTCCTTCTTTCCAAGCGCATTCTTCTCAGTTACAGAGAAATTTAAAATGCTGCCAAGTAAACCATGACACTATGCTTTCACTCAAAATTTTTATTTTAAACTTATTGAAGAAGCTCTTTTAGACTCGGTTAGTCACAGATTTTCATCATAAATCACTGTTCTGCATAATAAAATGGGAAATAGAAGTGAAATAACTGGGCCAAGGTAGTTCTTGAACTTCTCATTTCAAATCTGACTCCACTCTTTTTGACTGAGAGTGACAATGACCGTTTTTTTTTTCACATGCTACTATCCTCTGAAGCATCAAGAGTGCTGATGATGCAGCATTTCTCAAAAGAATCCATAAAAGAACTAAGTGTCATATGTGCTGGGCTCTTAAACAAATTTGTGGATCCAATCCTCAGGCCCTGCTATGTTGGATTAGGCAGACTTTCAGAAAGGAAGAGTTCTCAGGAAACTGTCCTTTACCAAGCAGCTGAGTCAATCCCTTAAGAATCCATAATAGAAAAATCTGAGTGGAGATTCTTAGGGCCTATAACATACAGGAGCTCAATATATTTGTAGAAGAAAAGAAGGAAGGAAGGAAGGAAGGAAGGAAGGAAGGAAGGAAGGAAGGGAGGAAGGGAGGAAGGAAACTAATTAAAATAATTTACATGGTTCATAAAACAATTTACATATTAATGTTAAGTATTTGCATATTTACATATGCTAGAAAAAACACTGGCCTCGAACTCAAATACTTGGACCTTCATTTAGAAGCTGTGTGACCTTGGGCAAATCCCTTAACCTCTGTGAGTTTCATTTATTATATCTATAAATCAAGGAGAGGGATGTTGCGAGGACATCAATAAAGAGAGAAATCAACGTAAAAGCACCTGGTATATAATAGATTCTTAATAAATGATGGCTGAAGCAGAGACTATTGTTTCATATCTTAAAGGGGAGAACAACTGGAAGATTCAACAACAATAATGCAGAAATGGGGAAGTGTCACAAAGCCCTCCCCTTTTTCTGGGAGCTTCAGCTCACTTTCCCACTGGAATTTGCTGGCCCAGCTCAGAGCATGCTGCCATCTGCTGGGAAGAAGGAAGAAGTGACACCAAAGCATTCCTTAACACAAGGCCATTCTGAGGAACAACCTGGAAAAAGGGAGACATAGGACACAACTCCCCCTCAGCTATGACTCTCTTAACCTTTAAGACAGGTAAGACCCTCACCATTGGCCAATGGTTTTTTTAGAAAAATAAGATTTCAACCAGTTTTTCTTTTTAAAAGTAAATGATAGGATATTATTTAGCTTTAAAAAGGCAGGAAATTCCAAACATGCTACATGGATGAACCTTAAGGACATTGTGCTAAGTGAAATAAGCCAGTCACAAAAAAGACAAATACTATACAATTCCACTTTTATGAGGTATCTAAAGTAGTCAAATTCATAGAAACAGAAAGTAGAATGCTGGTTGCCAGGGGCAGGGGGCAGAGGGAAATAGGGAATTGTTTAATGGGTGTAGAGTTTCAGTTTAGCAAGATGAAGAGTTCTGGAGATTGGCTGCACAACAATGTGAATATGCCTGACATTATTAACCTGTATATTTAAAAATGGTTAGAATGGTAACTTTTGCATTATGTATATTCTACCACAATTAAAAAAATCAATAAGTGTTAGGGATAAGCACATAGTAGGTGCTTGACTTCATGCAAGAGAATCATAATAACTATTTGTTGAACGATGATGGAAAGAAGTGACCCTGACAGATGGCTTCAGACACCAGGGTGAACATGAGAATGGGCATCTTTCCTTCCCTAGGAAAGCCTTCCAAGTGAACTTAATTAGTCACAATTACCTTGTGGTAATAAACTGGTTATCGTTCCTGCTCTCATCTCAAAACTAAAATTTTCTCTTTTCATCCCATCTGACAATGGCACGGCACCAAGTTCAGCCTGCGCCTGAACATTCTCCCAGAGAACTGTATCTTCTTGACGAGCACTGGCAGCAGCAGCCATGTTTTCTCTTGATTCCATGGCTGCAAGTTCCCAGGTCACAGAACTTTAGAACTGCAAGGGCTCTGAGCAGCCTCAAGAGATTGAAGAGATTTATCTCCTACCCAATCAAAAATATATAAATATATAAAATATTTTAAATAGTGACTTTTCAAAAGCCACAGAACCAGAAAGTGGCAAAGCCAAGGCCTGACCTTTCACCATCCAAGCCCCCCACCCTTCCCATCCCCCCAGACTCCTTTCCACCTGCAGCAACAGGCACAGTGGGGGCAAGTTTTTCCCTGGACTTCTATAAGGTCACTGCTCTACAAGAGGAAAGGTTCTCCTTGTGGTCAGTGACCTTCAAAGCCCATCAGCCACAGGATAAAAGGGCAGGCTGAGTCTGTCCACAGCAGGACTCTCGCCCCCCAAGGCAGATGTCAGACCCTCCAGGGAAAGCAAGACAGAGAGCAAAAAGTGCATGTGTCCCCAAAGGCCCTGGCAGCTGGCTCTGCATGTACCTGGATATCTCCCGGAGCCCCTGAGGCCAAGCCTTTGTACAGCCTTGACTCCCCCCAACTTCCTTGCCTCACCCAGTCTCACCCAGACGGACAAAATGCCAAATCATACTGAAGCATTTGGAGACAGCTGCAGGTAGAATTTACCACAGGGGATTTAGTTTATTGACCCCAACCTCCAGGATTCCTGGGCTTGGAGTGTTTCCTAAACTTCCCCCTGAACACCTCTAACCCAACAAGATGGAGAGAGGAGCTCATTTCTGGGTCACAGAAGTTGGTAGCCATGAGTGGAAGTCCAAGTCTGGGGAATGGAAGAGGAGAGAGGGTGTGCAGAGTCAGGAACTGAATCTGGAACGTTTGTGTACACCGCACCCATTTGTACCCACTTGGAAGTTTAACCAGTTGCTTTGGACGGCTGGGAGTGGATTTCTGTTTCCAAGAGTTAAGAACAACCACGCATCTTCTCCCAAAGCCTTGCAAAGGACATCCCTTCACCCTTGATCACCAGCAGTGGGGCGAGATAAGTCAGCAACCCTTCTGCCTCCCCCCACCAAAGCTGCAGGGTTTCTGACTTTGGGAGCCCTTATGGAGACCTTGCAGCAGCCTAGGGGTCTGAGTAGCTTCATCCTGGCTCATTGCAGAAACTCAAGGTTCCCCAGGGGCTGCTGGCCTTTATCTGAGGGCTCCAGAGCAGCCCCCTTGTCTGGTGGGTTTAATAACTAGCTTCTGATTAGACAAAATCTGACATCCTGAGACTTGAGCAAGTTTCTGTTTCATGATTTATGATGGGCTCCAAATTTCACCTGGATTGCACCTGAGCACCCATGGAATGCCCATGTTGTGTGGAGCTGGCAGAATAGGATGGGCGGGGACCAAGAATTACATCCTTCAGAGGCAAGTACAGACAGGGGATCCTTCCCCAGGGGTTGGGAGCCGGGGGCGGGGAGTGGGGGGTGGGGGGAGTGTCCAAGGATGTTACAGATCTCCTGCTTCACCATTAGCATATCATTGGGGAAAAGCATTACAACCAGTATGAACCCAGAACTATCATACAAACTGTTGCTTATGATAGCGAAAGGGGAAGCCATTAATAATTCTGCTGGGAAACAGCACAAACCAGGACAGTCCCAGCTTAATGACAGATCATCCATCCCAAGAGGAAACAAACCAACTAGGAGAATCCGGTCATTACCATTTCTTGCTCTTCCGTATATGACTATGCAACCAAAACATAAACCTCTCCTCATCAGAGCAGGTAAAACTGTCAGTTTCTGGTGGGGGTAATGAAACTAGAAGGCCATTAAAACTAGGTTTAAAACTTTGTCTTCCTGAGGCTGTTCTCACCAGTGCAGTCAGCTCTCTCCCTTTGGTCCATGCCCCACATCAGAAGAAAATCCAGCTGGTAGTCCTTGTTATATGGGATGGCCAGGACCTCAGGGCAGGAACACAGATTTTTCAGTTAATTATAAGAAACCACTCCCAGGAGGTTCAGCAGTGGCGAGTACTTCCTCATATGTGGAGAAACCTGTGTGCTTGCTTGTTAGAGCGCAAGCAGGGAATCCTGTAATTCCACATTTGGCCTGCAGGGGACAACATCTCTCTAGCAATGATCACACCACAAGCATACTGCAGGAAACACATTTAATTGGCCAAGGAATAAGGGTTTTGATTTTTTTTTCTTAAAAAAAAAAATCAGATCAATATATTTCCAGTAAGCAATTCCCACCTATACATATTTTCACATGGGGATTTTGCTTTTTATTTACAGTGCTAGGTACATAATGAGTTTTTAATAAATAAATATGTATGAATTGACCAATTGGTTGAAAATAACCCAGACTTGCCTGAGGCAAGGTTAAGTACAAGGTAAAACAGGAGAAAAGGAGCTAGGGATTGGTGAATGTGCGTGGAAAACACTTTCCTTTCTGTTTAATAGCTTGCCCAGAAAAAAAAAATGCATTTGAAAATTTCCAAAAGATATTTCTCCAAGAGCAAACCATTATTAATCTAATTCTTTAAAAACAAAGAGACAAAAAATAAAACAGTAACCTTGGTTTTATAAATATTGCCCCTGATTTCAAAGTCCATCCTACATACATGTTAGATAAATGATTTCCAGGTTTATGCAGGTCTCTACAGGTTTAAAGATTTTACATTTAGGCTCATCCCTTTCAGATGCATTGATTTTGAAGCACCTCCACCCCTGTTCCCGCCTAGACCCTGATGAGACTCACTGAAACCATCAAAATCTACCCACCACTGAAGAGGGACCATGGAGATTAGTTTTACCAGGCAGGTCTGAACACAGAGCAGTGAAGTCCAGCCTGGTGGCTAGTCTAGCAGTGGACATGCATGAGTTTTGAGTCAGCACTGCTCTTCCCATAGAATAGTCCCATGCAAGTCCATCGGGACCTGCGCCTCTGCCGGGACTCACCCTGCAGCCACCTGTCCATCTCTCAGACTGGGCTCCTCACTCTGTTTTCTAAGCAGCAGAGAGAATCAGCACCTTTAATACCACCAGTGTCCCTGGGCACCCTGATCCCAGGTAGACCCCCTTTTCTGGAGAGACCAACAGACTTAGGCAGCTTTGGAAGGTGGACCTAGACGGAGAAGAGCTGGACAGACTGTCTGTCGGTAGTGAGGGACACACCCTACAGCCCTCAGCCCCATGGTGGGTGGTGTTCTTCCACAAAAGCTGCAGATAGATGTTTCAGCTCCACTCCTGATGACATGGGGCCAACAAATGACTACTGGCCATTTTACAGGCCCAGGCCCCCATCTTCCAGGTCCATGGTCACATTGCTTCTTTGGGTAAAGCCTCTGCAGGGAGAGGAGGCAACAAGGCGACTGGGAGGAAGATGTCTCTGATCCCACAGACCAGCAAGGCCACAGTAGCCAGAGGGAGCTGCCTCCCTGCCCAACCAGAAGATAATGCAGGAGCCAGGACCACCTTGCTCCACTCCCTGACTTGTTATGCGTCCTCTCAGCATCACTGCTGCCCCAGCTCCCATCCAGGGCCCATGCGGGGGGTATATGGGTGTGTGTGTGTGTGTGTGTGTGTGTGGTGGTGGGGGGGGTTATATCACCCTCATAGGGTGCTGAGGCTGCAGGTGGGTGAGCTCACCTGAGGAGGGACGTGAACAGGGCCCAACCTCAGGAAAGGGGGCACTGTGGCTGTATGGGGTGCTGTGAACCCAGAGCTGCTGTGCTAGGTCCCTTTCTTCCCTACCCCATAATATGGTCGAAGTGAGGGCCGTGACTGAGTGATGTCTATGGGTCTCTGAAGCAAAGAGAGGGTTAGGAAGCCCCTGGAGGATGCAAGTGTCAAGGTGGGAAGGGGAAGCCTTCACACAGGAGGACAGGCAGGATGGCAGTCACAGAGAGGTAGAGCGGGCACAAGAGAGGGCTGTGGTCCCTGCCCACCCCACTCCCCAACCAAAATAAAAGTGTCTACATGCAACCAGGCCCCTTCCTGGCCTCACCGTGACAAACCAGGCAGCACCCAGCATGGGCCTGCATGGGTTCGGTGTAGACACCCAAGGGAGGGTTTGGGGTGGGAGTGAGGGAGGTAGTGTCCCTGTCCTTTGAGGGTGAGACTGGTCCCAGGTGGAGCTCTGGCCCAGAGGAGAGCTGAGAGAAGCCAGGTAGAGCCAGCCTCCCCTGCTGTCCCTTCCCAGCCTGACCCACAAAAGACTTGGGTGACAGGGAGGAAAGCCTATCACTTTCCACCCCGGGGAAGCGCCGAGGATGGTCCAGGCTGAGTCACCATGATGTGGTAGATGGATTCCCGGAAGCGCTGGTCTCGGCTCAGCCGCTTGGCCACCTCCTTCAGCTCCTCCATGTTGTTGGCTTCCAGCTGGGAGGTCATGAAGGACTGGGACGGCTTCACTGGGGAGATGGTGGCCCGCGGGCCCATGAACAGTCAGTCCTCCCTCCATCAAGGCTTGGCCCTGTCTCCAACCCCCACCTTCCTCATTCACCATCCTACCTGCTGTGAAGCTTCTCCCAGCTCCTTCCCACGCATGGGCTCCCATAATCCTGGGAGAAGCCCAAGGCTGGTGGGGCTGGTTCAAGGCCACACTGTCTGACCTCACACCTGGGCCAGCCCCTCCCACTCCCCACTCTGCCCTCTTCCTGCCTTGTCACCTACAGCCTGTGACCATCCCCAGCCCACTGGGTACTCGGACGGCCACACTCACTGTCATTCCAGGAGGTGCTGGACCGGCGCCGGTGGAAGCGGCAGCTTTTGATGCGGCGAGTGGCCGCCTTGTGGATGTACACGGAGTTCTTCATGATGACTGGCATCTTGGCCTCCAGCTCCGCATTCCGGATGCACTCCTCGAAGAACCCTGCGGCCGCAGATCCACTGTGTTCTTCCCTCTGCCCCTGCCCCGCCTCGCTCCGCCCCTCCCAAGAATCCTGGTGGACTTGGGTGAGAAACACATTGACCCCATCCCTTGGGAGACCAGAGCCACCTGCTGGAGGGATCAGAATTGCAGGCTTTCTCTCCCACCCCAAAACCCAAGATCCAATAGCCAAAAGGAAGCCGCGCCGAGGAGACGTCTGCAGGCAGGAGTCTGGAGAAGAAACTCCACGGATATCTATGAACATCTAAGGCACACCAGGCCTTGTGTGGGGCTCTAGGCCCTGTTCCAGGCTCTGTGGAGCCTGGACTCCAGCTGGGGCTGAGCTCCAGGGCTAAGAGGCCCGGCACTGGAGGGCAGGGCTTACTTTTCAAATGGCTCACGTCAGCGCGCATCCTCTCCTCCTTCTCCTTGTTCCGCACCTTGGAATTGAGCCCTTGTTCCAGGCTCCGCAAGGCCCCCTCTGCCTCCCGCAGACGCCTCTCCAGGTCCATGCGGACCTTCACCTCGGCCTGAGGGGAGAGGGAAGGAGAGAGAAGTGGATCCTGGGGAGCAGCTGCCATTTACCCTGGAAGTCTTTCCTGATCACCTGTGGCTCAAGAAGGCTTTCTTGCCTCTGGATATGGATACCAGTTACCACCTCCTGCCTCGTGTCTTATGCTTTCAACCAGATGGCCTGAACTTGGTCCCGCACCCAGCAGTGATGCCCCACAGAAGTGGCAGGCCCACTGCGTCCCCTCAGGGTGGCTCCATTGCCTGCAGCTGGCTGGTCAGATCAGCAGAGATCATTTAGGTAGCTGCCCAATAAAGTGCAAGGAAGTGAAGGACGTCCGTCTCCAGGTGAGGGGGCGCACCTTGAGCTCCTGCTCCGCCTGCTGCTTCTGGGCCGTCAGCTCCTGCAGCGAGTTCTGCAGTGCCTGGGACTGGCTTGAGTAGAACTCACGCTCTTCTTCCAGGGCCCGTGAGCGCTCCTCGTTCTCCTTCATCCTGCCCAGGGTGCAAGAAGCACTCAGTCAGAGTTTGCTCACCAAACAGCGTTTCCAGTAGGAGTGCAGCCCCCTGTAGAGACCTGGCTGGAGAAACCCTGAGACTTAGGCTTCAGGAGCCCCAGAACTTTCTGGGTTCTGCCACCCAGGTGATAAGAGGGGTGGTATGGTCAGTGAGGGGAGCCCTAGCCTTAGAGTCAGAAGACCCGAGTCCTGGGTCCAAATCTGGCTGGTTCTGTGACCCCTATAACTTCTCTAAGGCTCAGTTTCCTCGGTAAAAGGGGGCTAAGAAGACCTGCCCAGCCGGCCACAAAGCATTGCTATATGGACCTAATGACTGTCTGTACAGTTCACACCATTGCAAGAGCTAATGATCCAGTCAGCGGGGCTAGTGAAAGTTCTCTTTCCATCTGCCTGGTGAGGAAACTGAGTCCTAGGCAAAAGGAAGGGAGTGACCTATCTGGTCAATGCCAACTAGAACCCAAGAGTCCAGGTGTCCAGTTTAAGGAAAGTTACCAATCCTCAAAGCCAAGCTTTGACTCAGGGATCCCAGGCCCCTCACCGCTTCTCCGCCAGGAGCTTCTCCTCCAAGAGCTGCTGCATCTTCTCCTCGATCTGCCTTAGGTTGCTATGGAGACCCCCGCTAGGAGAGGGCTGTTCGCTCTGATTGGCCCGTGTCTGCAGTTGGTTCTCATTCTCCTCCAGCATTTCCAGGGTTTTCTTCTTCTCTATGGAGAGTTCCTGGCATGGAGGGAGGAAAAGAAGGGAGAGAAGGAAGAGAAAGAGCCTAATTTAGGTTCTTCACCCTGACTGCCCTCGCCTGCCTTCCAATTCCAGGGAATGATGCCCTCCTGTCTCAGTCCTCTATGAGGGACAACTGAAATGTCTTCATTCTTCCCTTGAAGAATAGGGCCAGCAAGATTTCCTTCCTCACAACAAGGCAAAGTTACCACTCCATCAAGGGAATCAAGGAGGAGCCCAATATGGCTTCCAGTAGAGGTGAAACCTACTACAATCAGGGCTCAAGACCCAAGGGCACCATGACCTTCTGAGGTCCTTATTCCTCTAGAAGCAAGTGTGGGACTGTGTTGGGCTCATGTGAAAAATACCCAACCAGCCCCAGAGCAGATTTACATTCTCCCCACTTATCATACTGGAATCTTGCACTATCCTGAAATTCTGGAGTTGAAACCATCCATGGGAACCACCTCCCATGATGTGAAATGGAGAAAGATAAACAAATAAAGGCACCACGAGCAAAGCCCCAGTTCAGGGAGAATAGAAACCCTTGCAGTCTGCCAGGCAGTTTGTGAATTCAGTAAACATAACGATCCCCACGACATGCCAGGCTCACTCTAGGTGCTGGCCATGGAGAGACTTTAAGACACAGTCTAATGAAGGTCACAGTTTGGAAAACACAACCTAGGGTACTAAGTGCCGTAACAGATGTACAAAGTGCTGTGGGAGCTCAGAGCAAATTCCTGCCTCAAAGAATCAGGAAGGAAGTTTGACTAAGGTGATGTCTGGGCTGAATCTTAGCAAAGGATGAAAGAGTTCTCCAGACAGAGAAGAGGTAAAAGGGCCTTCTGTGTAGAGCGAACAGTATGGGCAAAGGTGTGGAGGATGAAAGGGCTTGGCTTCCTTGGGACACGTTTTCTCAGTGGTTCGGAGTAGAGTTGGGGGTGTCTGTGCGGGATGCAGAGGAGCAGCAGAGGGAGAGTGGGCAGCAGGGGAGGAGGGGCTGGGGCCGGAGTATGCATTTGCATGCCATGCTGAAGAGTTGGTACTTTGTCCTTGCACATGCCGCCGCCTCCTCCCCCGCACAGTTACTGTGGTATCAAATGGAGGTGACCTGCCAGCTGATTTCCATTTGTGCTCAATTTTCAACCTGGAGCCGATAAGTGAATAAGCCACAAGAAGGAAATGGTGGGTGGCGACGCCTAATCAATCCTCCATGTGGTATAAAAATATAAGCACTAAAGAAGGTGGATTTCCCGAGGTCACGGTTATAGCAAGGGCAAACTTGAATTTGCCCTTCTGCGTCTTGCTTTGGGCCTCATGCATCAGCTGGAGTTCCCAGTGATCCAGAGAGGAGGCCCTTAGACCAGTGCTTCTTAGTATCCATTCCCCTTGCAGATAACTCTCTGGGAAACACAGTATCATGTGACCCAACTGATCCGCCTGCCTCCCGGTCGACCAGCCCACCAGTGGCCCCTCACCTCCAATGTCTGCTGCAAGGACTCCGTGAGGTGTCTCAGCTCCTTTTTCTCTTGTTCCACACCTTTGAGACATCTTGCAGTCAGTTCTAGCTCCCTGCAGAGACAGAAGGTACGGGTATGGCAGTGTCCTACCCGCCCAGTTCCCTTTGTACAGAGAAACAGCTTCTGCTTCACCTCCCAATAAGGCTCAGAGTGGTCCTTGGAAGGCCAGCCCCTCTGCATGGCGACATGCTGACAGCAGCTGTAGGGGCCAGGGCTGAATGGAGATCCCAGCCAAGTGGGATTGAAGTCACTTGCTCTAGGTACACATGCATCTATCAGTCCAGATAAGCCCAGAGCTGCCCCACAGGCAGAGAAACATTGGGGGAACACAGAGGTCCTGGCCTCACCCTGCCTTCCCTAGAGAGCCCCTGCTAGAATCCACACTCACTCTGACATGGGACATGGCTGAGGCCCTTCTGTAGGTGACAAACTCCTGCTGCTTTCTTAACAAGCTTGGGCCGCTTCAGGCCTTTATGCCTGGTTTCCCCTCTTCCTGTCTAAAATTTCCAAATCCTACCTATCCTTCAAGGCCCAGCTCAATCTAACCTGTGTTCAAGCCCACAAGGATCAAGCGCATATCTTAATTCCTAATAACACAGGGGGTCTGCCCCTGCCTCCTCGCACCTCGTTATGTATTATTATGTTGATGTTCCCAAGGTGTGAGTCTGGTTTTCCCACCCAGATCCTCAAGGGAGAGAGCTTATTTTCTATTCCAATGTCTGGCACAATTCTGGAGGCATGCAGGTGCTTGGTTATTTACTTGATAAGATCCTCTGAGATTCTCCCTCCCCAAAATACATGTCTAATGAATTCTTTATAAGGTTGTCGCAAGAAAAATCTTCCTGGGCTATCACTGATCATCAATAGTGATGAAGATGCTCATAACGATGATGATGGCGACAATAATCACACCGCCAACAACAGTACCCAGAGCAGGAGTCTCCAAATTCCTGGATAAGCTGCATCAGAATGACCTGGAGAGCTTTATTAAAAATACAGATTTCTGGACTCTACCATCAGGAGAGGCTATTGGGTTGTTGGAAAAGTCATGTCACATGTTTGCGACAGATGGCACTAGTTCGTTTTTAGAAGTACTAGAGTCATTCACATCTATGTTATTGCTATGTCATTTGACAGCTGACAGTTCTAGCTTCAGTCTAAAAAAAAATGGAGTGATTTGATTGATCTTTGGAGATTTTAAAAGTTGAAGATGAAAAACCAAACTGTGCATTTGTGCCATATTTTACTGTTTTACTTCCATAAAGGGAAGAACGCGCATCAAGCTTGTGAAAAGTTGCATGAAGTTTACGGTAACAATTCACTACAAGAATGTCAGTGCCAACGATGGTTCACAAAATTCCGTGCTGGTGATTCTGATCTCAGTGACGTTCCTCAGTCAGGGAGGCCCACTGAGGTTGATGACAACAAAATAAAGGCAGTGATAGAGTTACTGCCACGTTACACGACACGAGAGATTGCAGAAACATTGAACATCCATCATTCAAGCATTCACCACCACCTGAAGAAGCTGCGATACATACGCAAGCTCTACATTTGGATTCCTCATGAACTCAAAGAAGTTCATTTTGGTGCGTATAAACATCTGCAATATGCTCATTAAACATGGGGAAAACGATCCTTTTCTGAAGCGACTGATAACTGGTGATGAGAAGTGGATTGTTTACAACAATGTGGTGCACAACAGTCTTGGTCCCGATGTAATGATTTGCCTCAAATGACATCAAAAGCAGACATTTATCAGAGGAAGGCTATGCTCTCAATGTGATGGGATTTTAAAGGTATTGTGTTTTTCAAGCTCCTACCACGGAACCAAACAATCAATTCGAATGTGTACTGTCAGCAATTGGACAGTTCGAATGAATCCATCATCCAGAAACGTCCAGAGCTTGTTAATTGTAAAGGAGTTGTGTTCCATCGCAACAACACGAGACCACACACAAGTTTGATCACCCTGTCAAAAATTATTGGAGCTTGGATGGGATGTGTTGCCACACCCACCATACTCGCCTGACCTTGCACCGTCAGACTTCCACTTGTCTCACTCTCTTCAAAACTCCTTGCATGGTATAATGTTCAATTCAGATGAGGCTGCAAATCAGCACCTTGCTCAGTCTTTCGCAAATAAGGACAGGTCCTTCTATGAACAAGGAATTATGAAGCTCACTGAAAGATGGCAAAAGGTTATCGAACAAAATGGGCAATATATCATTGATTGATCTTTGTTCTTTATAAATAAATGACCTTTGAAAAACATGGACAAAATACGTCATGACTTTTCCGGTAACCCAATAATTCTGTTAAATGTTTATAATGTTCAACTGGTTTCTAAACCATACACAGGACTGAAGATCCCAAGGGACACCGTTAGCCAGAATGTGAAGGGACTGTGCAGGAAAGACAGGAAATGTTGGGGGTCTTGGCTAACGGCACCTGCAGACCTGGTTGGTACTGTTTGCCCTGGGTGATGAAGGTTTGACGTGGAGGCAAGAGGGCTTGTTGCGTGGGGGGATGCCTGTCTGAACCTGCCTGTGCCTCATGTCCCAGTGGGCAGAAGTGGCCCATTTGTGTGGGTTCTACAGCAGTTCTGGGTATACCCCAAGGCCTGGAGCATTGGGAAGACAGATCAAACCAAGTCATCAAGTAGTGAGGATCTCCTGGGCGGAGGCCTCTTCGGGCCTGACCAGGAACATGGCTTCTAAGTGCCCTAACCCAGGTGCACCTTCCTCCCTCTCCCCTCTTGGGCACCACCATCACCTCTTGATCTGCTCCTGCTCCATTCTCAGCTCCTGCACCACCTCCTCAAACTGCTGCTTCTCAGCCTCCAGCACCTGGTTAAGGCGCTCGAGCTCCTGAAGAGAATCAGAAAGAAAAGAGTCACGGGCAGCAAAGGGAACCTCCACTCTAACCAGGGGATACCCTCTGGGACTCAGCATAGTCTGGGGCACACACTGGACCAGACCTGAAATTAAGTTCTGTAGAGCTCTGGCCCCCTCAGTGTCACACAGTCGCAATGCAACCGAAGTCTGTGATGAGCTGGGCTCCCTTAAATCACATTTAGCAAGCTGAACACAGGATTTAGAAGTGATCCCCACATTATTTCCTGCAACTGGATATAATAATTCTATTAATAGATGTCACTCATACCCTAAGGCGTGTTGGCTGGCCCTTAGGCCCTGGAGGATAAAGTGGTGAGTGTGTATTTCTATTAAAGATCCCTGGAGTGATAGGTTAGAATTGGCAAAGAAAAGCCATTCCCAGCTCAAAAGTCAAAGAATAAGGACTCTTTCTCCAGGCATCTGGGAAGCAATGAGCACTGAGGTGGCTGCAGCGTCCCCTATACTCAGTCCCAAGGGAACAGGAGAGCCAGGAAGCTCCGGACAGGCTGGACCAGGGAGCCAGACCACTGCCTTCAGGAATGCCAGCAAGTGTAGGGTTTTCCCAGCAAGTATGTGCCCTCCAGGGGTCCTGTTTCCCTGGGGCTCAGTAGCAGGTGGTGTTGGGGGTACACTTCAAGTGAAGCTTGGTTAGAAGCAGTTTTGTGATGACTTCTTTGTTCCTCCACATTTTGCACTGTGGGAGGATATTATTTCTAGATCCACCTTCTCATCTTCTAGCTCCAAATTACATTCTCATTTTCACCCAGGGGCTTTGTTCTCAAGGATCATGAAAACCCCGCCATGGAGAGGGGCTGCCTGAAGGGAGAAGTTGCCATTGGATTTGAGGAGCTACAGAGAAGGAAAAAAACCTGAAGGAAAAGGAAGAGTCTGATTCTGAACCCCATGCCCTTCCTCCCTAACCCCAAATTTGCTCTTTCTTTCCTTCTGATCGTTTTGGCCCTTTTGATGTGGCTCACTCATGGTCATCACAAGGGGCATTCTGATGCCCCTCCGGACACACTGCATGGCCACAGTATACCTGCAGAAGCTGGGCGGGCCCATGGGACTGGCTAAGGCCAACAAAATAGGAGCAGAAGTGCGTCACTTCCTGGCCGATCCTTTAAGAAATGGCATGGCATGCTATGTTCCCTTTCCCCTGCTATGGCAGCCAGTATTGCTGCACATGATAGAGGCTCCACTCGCCTGGATTCCTGAGCGATGTGGGGCAGAGCCCCAGCTGACCCATGTAACTGACTGAGAAAGATGTTTGCCATTCAAAGCCACTAATATTTTCAGGTTGTGTGTTATTGCAGTAGGCATAAACATATACAGATATAAATATAATTAAACTTTTATTCTTATAGACCTCCCCTTTTTAATGAAAGAAAAGTTTAGAGTTTCAAAAAGTTTGAAAACCTCTATTTTAATACATCCTTAGTAGCTGGGGGTATTGCTATTGATGATAAACCTGTCTGTGGCCTCAGATTCGAAAAACCTGACTTGTTTCCTCTCTCTGATGGCTTCTGCCTGTTGTGGCAGGGCTGTTCAGGGAACGGGGGCAATTATAGGCTACAAACATCCCTGAGCTCAGACCTAAGAAATCAGAAGGGCACCTGGCTTCTGCGGCTTCAGAACAGATCGCCTATGTACCAGCTGGAGAACGCCATCCCATAACATTGTCTTCTTCCTGGACAGTCCCTTTCTCCAACACTCCAACTTACAAATATTTCCCTGTACTTACTATTACACTGGGACATCTTTTTACAATTGAAAATGGAGAAAGTAAATGATTAAAATGCCATGGCAATGTCCATACATTGCTGGTGGGAGTGTAAATTGGTCCAAATTTTATGGAAAGCAATTTGTCAGTATGCATTATTAGTCTTAAAAGTTCTTGCCTTTTGACTCAGTGATTCCACCTCTAGGAACCTATCCTAAAGAAATAATTAGAAAGTAGACCAGGGGCCGACCGAGTGGCTCAGTTGGTTAAGAGCTTGCTCAAGGGTGCGAGCGCTGAGCAACAGGGTCACCAGTTCGATTCCCGGCCTGAGCTGAGCTGCTGCTGAGCTGCCAACAGGTGGAAGGATGACTCAGCTTAAAAAAAAAAAAGTAGACCAGGATTTACGTACAAGGATGTTCACTGTGGTGTGACTTGTAATAGTGAAAACATTCTGGATGTCCAAAAATAGAAGACTGGTTAAATGAAACATCATGACAAACAAACATATGATGAAACAGCACATGGTCACTAAAACTGGTGTTTTCCAAGAATGTCGAATGACACGCAAAATTGCTGAAGGTACAATGTTAATGAAGACACAACAAAAGGTATAACAAAAATGCAAGCCATAAAACAGTATCTGGTATGATCCTGTTATGTTTAAAATACATATGAGAATAATATAAATTTTTAAAAGACTGAAGAAAAACACCAAAAAGTTACCAGTAAGCTATCTGTCAATTGTAGGATTAAGGATAAAGCGTGTTGTTCACGTTTTGTACAAGGAGCACAATTTCCACCATTAGTAAAATGTTATGTATAAAAGAGGAAAAAGAAAGACAACCTCCTTCCTGGCTGCTCACTTCTTTTCCACCTTTCATTTCACCTGCATGATTCTTAAATAAAGATGATGTCCAGGTGTAGCCTGAGAATGCTGATTAGAATGGAACCTACCACCTATAAACTTGGAGCAGCCATAACCTGCCGTTGCTGCAGGCCAGGATGGAAGGAATGTTTGTAGCAACCCTGCCACAGACTGAGGTCAGTCAAGGCCTGCTTCAGTGAAAGCCTTTCTTCACCATAGTTCTTCTGACTCTTGAACCAGACTGAAGTTGCAGTATAAGGTTGGAAAGAAGTCACTAGAAGGCAAATTCCAGCTCAATCAAAGGAAGAGCTTTCAAATAATGCAGCAATAATGCAAACATTATCCCCAGAGGTAGTGAGTTGCCCATCACAGGATCAGAATCAACATCCATCAGGAAGGTCAGCAAAGAGCCTCACCTGGAAGTGAGAGGTTCTTTCCTACTTCAAGAGTCTGTGTTTTGACTGGGAGCATCCTAGGTGGCAAGCACCCTGCCTGACCGGCCCTGGGCATTTCTGATTTCCCATGTACCCATCCACATGCAAGGCTGAGCTCTTACAGTTCAGCCAAAAAAGGAAAGGTAGGCAGGCAGCCCTCCTCCAGGGTATGAAAAAGATGAGGCCACAGGGAGCCAGGGATACTTGAGGGACCTGTGCCCAAGGAGATGAGCTGCCCCTGAACTCTCTGCTCGGGCCCCAGAGTTCCAGGCCCTTTCTGCCACATGGAGGATGTCAGGGTTGTATCATTTCACAATGCACATCTGCATGAGTCTTGTCAAGTCCACAAAGCACTCCCCTGCCTTCTATTAATATTTCATTGAGATTCACAGCCACCCAGGAGCTAGGGGGGCACAGCTGTTACTCTTAGAGCATCACGAATAGAGAAACAAGTTCAAAGAGGTTAACTTGTCTAAGCCACCCAGTCAGTGATAAGGACTTGAATCTGGGTCTCCTGGTTCCAGACTCTGTGTCTTCCTTTGCACCAGGCTGCCTTTTAGAGACCAGAGAATCTTTATCTCATCACGGGGCCATTTTCCCAAATGCCTTTCTAAGTGGCCCAAGGCACACTCAGACAATCTCCATGACTTGGAGTGGAGATGGGAAAGGTGCAGGGGACAGGCAGGCCCATTACATGGATGAGCAAGTTAAGAAAAACCTCGACAGAATGAGTCTGTTCTATTCCTGATCTGGATTGGAACAAGCAGCTGACACAGAAACCTGAGCCGGGGCCAGTCCTCTCCTTCCTGTCTACCCAGAGCAGCCGCCACCACGGGAACCTGCTGTGCCCAAGTGAATCTCACTCACATTTTGTACCAAAAAAACAGGGAGTTCACAGCTGACAGGCCTCTCTCCTCCAATATGCTATGGCTTTAAGCGAGGCCTGTGTGCAGTGGGTCTCCGCTGTCCTCATTTCCCGGCTAAAGACCTAGATAGAGTGTCTAAATTTTCCCCTGGCTGACTGCTGCCCCAGATTCAGCCTCTCTGATGGATAAGTCTGTCTCTCTCCCTGCCAGTGGCTGTGTCTGTCACTCCATCCCATTCCCTGGCTTCCTGGATTACCTGTCTTTACGATGCTGACAATCCACCCGAAGTCTCACTTCTCAAAATGTACAGAGCTGTGTGAAAAAAAAGTGCCAAAACTCTACTGCAGAACCTATAATGAGGGCCTGGAGACATGGAAGCCAGAACGCTGCTGAGTGCGAGGGGACTCGGTGCTGTCACCATGCCACACCTCAAGTTCATGCAATCCTAACAAATCCTCAACAGGTTTTGGTTTTTTATTTGGGTTTTTATTGTTGTTGTTAATTGACAAAATGATTCTGAAATCTAGCTAGAAGAATAAATGGGCAGGAATATCTGATAAAATTTTGGAAGAAGAAAAATGAGGGTGGATTTGTCATACTGGATTAAAGTCAAGATGTAACGTAAAATTACAAAAATTGAAAATGTTCATTCATTAAGTCATTCCACAAACATTTGAAGTGCTCAACTTGGACCAGGTGCTGTGCAGACCCTGGGAATGTCTGGGGTACTATGGGGACATGGCTGTAGGGCCTGCTGCAGAGCCCAGGGAAGGGCTTCTCGGAACAGAAAGGAATTAGCAAGAATCAGATCGAGAGGCAGGCACTGAACCAAGGCTGCTGGCACTGAGCCAAGGCTGATGGCCCTAGCCCAGTGACTTGCCTGGGAGAAGACAAGGAAAAGCAGCTGGAAAAGAGCAGGGGCCTCTCTCTGTGGGCTCCTCTGGGCAAGCCACTCTGCAGCTTCAGGCCTCAGGCAGTTCATGTGCAGGATGGGCCCATAATTAATAACAACACGATTGTAATACTAACAAACACAGGTTCATTAACATGTACTATGTGCCAAGCACTTTATATGTAACATTTCATTTCATCCTCAAAACATCCTTAATAAAATGGGTTAAATTACTATCCCCACTGTTCATGCGAGACTATTGATGTTCAGAGAGGTTAGGTAACTTGCCCAAGGTCACACAGCTAGAAGTGGTGAAGGTCCAATACAAATAGTGGCAGCGCGGCTCGAATCCACATCACTAACCACTACCCTATCCTGCCCTTCAGGGGAGGTAATGAATAAGCAAGGCCCAATGCTACATGGAGATTCCAAAGGAAGTGGACTTCAGCAGCTCTCTACTCTCAAATGAGGCAAGCGTTTCCTTTACCCCACAGGCTGCCTCAGGCCAGTGCTGGCTCCCTTGGTATTTGTATTACAGACATTTAGAGAATGAAGAAACTGCTGAGATCTTCCAACCGGATCACCCTTTTGGTGCCAGAAACCCCTCCATGAGTAATAGAGGCCATCAAGCCTCATGTAAGTGTCACCAGTGGCAAGCAACTCATTACCTACCAACTCAGCTTATAAAATTTTTGGATGGCTCTTTCTCTAGAAGGCGGTTGCCTACCCTTTTTACTTTCCTCCGTGGGATTGGCAAGGAGAAATATAGTTCTTGCCAAGAAGTGACAGCAAGTCCCAAGCACTATCCTCTCATTGGCTCCCCTGCTCTGCCCATCAGATTTTCCAGCCAGTTCTCTGGGTGCCCAGCTCCCCCACACCATTCCCAGAATGCCAGAAATATAAACCAGCACAGCTTGGCTGTTCAGGGGCCCAGGGAGGGAAATGGTGGGGAGGGGCAGGAATTCTGAACGGCCTCAGTATGAGCCTACCTCTCTCTGCTCTCTCTGCAGGCAGAGTTCTTCGGTTTCTTCCATCAGTTTGTCTGCCAAAGTGAACATACACACACACGTACTCTCACAAAAAGCTCACTCCAGATCTGGTCCCAAGGGGGCTAGTGCCACGGTCACCTCTGTCACCCCTAACATCTCCCAAGGAAGAAGTCAGCACTGCTGTGCCCAGGCCGGCCAGAGGGTTGGGGCAGCTCCTGGGGATGGAAGCTGCCCTGCTGGTCTGAGCTGCTACCCTCCTTTCCTGTCATTGTCCCTGCTTTGTGCATTCACAAGGCAAAAACGGCCTCATCCTTGGAAGCTCAAGGGTGTCTCTGCACCGTCACCCCCCCACCCACCCACCATGGGAGTTGTTAATCTCCACACTACTATCTGGCTGGCTGGCTAGTGGGGGAGGGCAGGTCCTGTGGGAATAGGGGTGTCTGGAGCAGGCAGAGGGGAACCAGTGTTGGGGCCCCAAGTGCCTAAGGAGGTGGCAGGACAGGGTCCCAGGCAAAGGAACAAACTTCAGACTCACATTCTTCTTTCCCAAACAGCACGTTAACCAGCCAATCAGAGCCAGTGTCCTGCAACCTCGTGGTCAGATTTAAAGGGAGCTGGGGGGTGGTAACTGAAGGCAAGCCCAGGATCTGGGGGCCCAGGGCAGGATAACAACATCAACTCCATTTACGGAGTCCTTATGGTGTGCCTGACACGAGTGCTTATGGCATTTTCACTTAACCCAATCCCATACCACCTCCAAAAGCTAGGAAATATTTTTGTCTCCATTCTAAGGATGAGGAAACTGAGGCTTAGAGAGGCTACGCTGCCTAAAGAAACATACAGCTGATAGGTAAGTGTCAAAGCTCCTAACCGCCAGGCTCTCCTGCCTCCTGTCATGCTGACCAAAAGGGCATTTATGACACCATAAGGCCCTCCAGACTCCAAGCTGGTATCTGGCTCCTCATTGCCTGCTAAGCCCCATCCAAGACACCCCCCGCACCCCACCCCACCTCAGTCCTCCAACAAGCCCGTGGACCTGAAGTGCTACCATCAGGGGCTCTCAGCTTCCAGCCCATCCCTCCAGCCAACCTAAATACTCCTGCTTCTCCTTGGCCAACTGCAGCCCCTGGGCCTCCAGGCTTTTGATCATGGCTTCTCCCAGCTGGGCATTCTTCCAAGTCCTGGGGAGAGAAGGCAGATGGACGGAGGAGAGAAGAGGAAGAAACACAAAATCATGAAAACAGAAGGGTAGAGGAGAAAGTACACGTTTTGTACTTGCCCATGTCTTCTCTCCAGAATTCCAGCTCGCATTCACTCTGGCACCCCTGGCTCTGGGCATGCCACCAGTATTGATCAGTTACAGTCCCTAGAGGCCGGCCCAGGCTGCAAAGTGGGACAACAGCACTTCTGGAGCAAAGAAGAGATTGCTTCCTGGCTGCTTTCTACACCACTGAATGGCCACCACCCGGCATGAGGCCTGGCACAGGGCACGCATTCAGTGTCATTTGTTGGGCTGTTGGCTTCTGCGATCTGGACCCTGACTTACAAAGCACTAGCTCTGATCTGTGCTGAGTTTAATGATGGGCCTGGGAGGTAAGATGGGGTCGGGAGGCAGCCAAATCCTACTAGTGATGCTGGATTCACTCCCGAGAGTTGCAGACAAATGGTGTCCACATCTGCCGCCTGTGACTCTAGACAAGCAAAGCTCACTTTGCTCAGCGCTCACTTAGGACCCCTCGCGAATGCTCTAAACATGGCCTATCTCCTCTCGTCCACCCTAACCAGCTCCCACAGCTCTGTCCTCAAAAAGGTTCAGACATTTTCCTCCCTACCCTTTCCTCTTCTGGGGTCCTCAGTGCTCACCAGGACGCCAGCAGAGAGGGAGATCAGGGTCGGTGCAGCCCACACCCCTTCCCATTCTGGACATCGGGCTGCCCCCTCCTGCTGGGAGTACTTACACCTTCCCGGACTCCTGCAGCATCTCGAGCCACTGCGCCTGCTCAAACTCGGACTCCGCTGCCAGCAAGATGTTCCCCTGCCAGGAAGAGGGGCCACGGTGTACCTGAGAGAAGGCCGCTCTGAGGACACGGAGGCCACCCCCAGGCCTCCACAGGCGCAGCTCTGCTCTCCCACCCCATATCCCTGTGGCTAGGCCACTGGAGGGGTTGCCCCGGGGACCTGGGGGGTCCCAGAGAAGCTGCTCTGCCCTTGCTGAACCCAGGCTGAGGGGAGAGCTTTACTCACATGGAAGTCCTGGTGGGAGATTTTCATGGCATAGGGCATGCTGGGCTCTTCCTTGGCCTCCACCAGGCAGCCCCCCAGAGGGATGACGCCCTGAAGAAGAATGGAAACAGGCAGCCCCCACCCCACCCAGACCAGGTCACGCTAGGCCTTTGGGAGCCCTCAGCCAAAGCCAGGTCCTACTGAGGGCCCCAGGCTGGGAGCCAGACCAGAACTCTCCCAGAGGGGACAGGAAGGGCTGGGCGGGCTCTGGGTCACAGGAGGATGGGGGCCTGCCCAGGAGGGGCAGGGAGTCTTATGCCCCAGGATTTGCTCTCCAGACTCTCTCTAGACCAGAGCAAGAAAAGAGACAGTCCCATACCCTTACAGGATACCCTCCCCTGTTGTCCCCACTGAGTCCTCCCCCCGGCTGTGGCCCTTGGGAGAGGTCCCCTCACCTTAGGATGTATATTGAAGTATTTATTGGTTTCAAAGTTCTTTTTTTCGCTCTCAGAGTAGTAAAGAAGAAAGCTCTCTTTGATGATGAAAAACCTATAGCGGGTGGTAGGGAAGGAGGGGCAACCAGAAGAGAAGGGTGAGGTTTCTCAGGACAAGAGCATCAATGGGGGCCCTGCACTCACATGGGAAGCCCATGGGGACACCAGCTCAGACTCATCCTCACCAACTCATGCTCCACCTCTGGGCAAAGGCCTCAGCTGGCCAGCTGCCCCCCACCACAGGCAGCCACCCCTGGCTCCACGGGGCAGCTGAAGTAGGCTTACAAGTGGCCGTCAGGCCTGGCCCCTCCATCTGCCCTGAGCTGCCACCCTCGGCACAGGAGGGCATCTGTGGTCCTTCCCTTCAGGTACCTTCAGCCCCTGGAGCCATTCTCTCCAGTCCCTTAGGGTCTACCCCAGGAGGGGCGGAAGGAGGGGAAGATGACACAGGATTCCAAGATGGGTCTTGTGATGAGTGATCATGAAGACTGGCAGTTGAATGGAATGTGGATACCAGGCTGGTGAGTCCGGGCCTGGGGTCCGCATGCGACACTTGTACCCCTTATGGTCTCAGACTACTCCACGGCCTCCTTGTGGGACTCAGGTATAACTGAGGATCCTGGTGCTTTCTGACTGTTGGAGACCTTGATGCCCACGCATGGAGCACTTGGGCCCATGTGGTGGCCCTCACAGGACTAATGACGAGCTGACAGAGAAAAGACGATGCCATTGGGCCTCAAAGCCCTAAAGCTCCAGCACATCCAGAGTGGTTGGCTCCTTCCTCCCAGGGCCCCTGCTAAGCCGCTGTTGTAGTGACGGGACAAGGGCAGCTGGAAGCAGTGGTATGCTGGACCCGGCTCAGATGGGCTCACAGTAGCCACCAGTGTGACTCTCTCCTCAGCTCTGAGTTCAGTGACATTGTGTTGGCAGCTTGATCTCAGTCATAGTAGGAGTATTTACACACTGTCCCACCCGACGCCACCTCAAGAGAGCCCATTGTTAACCATTTCCCAGCACGCCTCGTGAGGGGCTTGAAAAGTTGCTGGTGGGCATGATGAAGTCAGTGAATCTCTGAAGCTTCCACCAGCTGTGTGACCTTTCCCGAAGCCACAGCTACTGTGGGGAGGGTCCCTGGGACTGCTGACAGCTGCCATCTCGCCTCCGCCAGGAAACTGCAGCACTTTGTCCTTTGGTGTGCATCTCATACCCACCCATGTTTTCTATTTGCATCAACCCCACTCGGCCCAGCCAGACACAGAAAGGGAGCTGTGAACCCCAGAGGTAACATCCTGCTAATGCCGGTTCTATCCCCTTTCTGCCCCCAATGGAGAAAGAGCACATGAGCTGGGGACATTCTGGGCCTCCAGCACCTGACCCCTGCCCACCTTCTTATCTGATAGAACTATGGCCTCATAAAAAGAAGCGAGCTCTCTCTTTCTCCCCCCTCCCCTCCCCCAACATGAGGCTATAGTGAGAAGGCAGACATCTGAACGCTAGGAAGAGGGTCCTTACCAGAACCCTGATCTTAGACTTGTAGCCTCCAGAAGTGAGAAAATGAATTTTTGTTGTTTAATTGAACAGGTTAACAGATGTTTGCCGTCTACGGTATTTGTTATGGGAGCCTACGCTAAGACAAATACCTTCTTGCCTTCCTGACACTTCTGAAGCCCCCTCCCCACTCAGGGCAAAGCACTGTGCCCGGGCTTGGGGGTGGGGGATGGCAGGCAGATGGCCACCGGACACAGGGGCAGGGGGAGAACACAGACTCTATGAGTCAAGTGATCCCCATCCCTCCAGCCACAGCCTCAGCTCCCAGCCTGGCTGAGCTCCCCATTCCAAGCTCCTCTATAAAATGGGGGTGCAAATATCTGTCTCTCGGGGCTGCTGTGAAGATTCATTCATTGATTCAACAAATAACTGCAACCTCCTTCTGGGCCCTGCAGAGTTGGGCTGGCTGTACAAGGGTTGGAGATAGGCACCGTCCATTTAGGTGTTCTTGTGTGCTGGCTCCCACGCTAAGTGCGCTATAAGTATCAGAGTATTTGATCCATGTAACTCTCTTGGGAGGTAAGGTTCTTTGTTCCCATTTTACAGGTGAGATAACTGAGGCTTACAGGTGAAGTAATGTATGCAAGGACAGAGGTGGGAACTGTGATTGGAACCCATGGACAACAGTCCCTGCTTCTACTCCCCACACCACTCTGCCTAAGGAGCTGCTTCCTCCCTCGTGCCAACACCTGGGCAGGACATAGGTGGGCCAGAGGCTGGGGTAGTTACTCTGCCACTTATCCACACAGTGCGGCCAGGGCAAGTCACCTGATCTCTTTAGGCCTCAGGTCCCTCAGTGTAACTTGAGGATAATAATAGTACCTATACCTCAGGATTGTATGGATAATGAAATGGATTTGTTCATATAAAGACTTAGAACATTGTGCGGCACATGGTAAATACTCAATAAATATTTACTTTTATTAGTGCTATTAGTATGTGTTATTATTAGGTTCAGTGTCTGCTCTAGCCTCACCTGATTTTCTTTCTCATTTGCTCTCACAAGGCTCTGACCAGCGGGAGCTCTTGGCTCCAGCCCAGCTGGACAGCTCCCTGTCCCCCAAATGCACAGCACTTTCCAGCATCTGCCCCTCCCTTCTCTCCAGGCCCCACTGCAGTCCTGGGCCAGTCCTGGGCAAAGCTTTGTCTCTAGCCCTAGCCCTTAGGACCTTCCTAGTCCACCCCGCTGGGCTGTGTGAAGGCTGGAGAGTGTGTGCAAGATAAGGGGTCTGTGTCAACCATGGCTGCCTCCTCTCCCTAGTTTTAAAAAATAGTGTTTTCACCTCTAGATTAAGGAGCACTTACTAGGTGTCAAGACACACCCTTTGCTAAGTGTTTTTAATGACATTATCTTATCTCTTACAATAACTCTAAGAGATGAAGATATTTGTTTTTCTATTTCAGTGGTGAAGAAACTGAGGCACAGAGAGATTAAGCAACTGGTAAGTGGCAATCTTGGAGCTTAGCTCTGTCTGCTGACAAAGCCCATGTTCTTGGTTGCTGTGCTGTCCTCCTTGTTACTTGGAGTCATCGTGATTGCAAGCTCCTGGTCAGCTCAGGTCAGACAGCATTAGCGAATCACCCAGTACAGCCAGTTACTACGCTGGGCCTGGGGCTGGATGATTCCCTGCCCTCAAGCCAAATGTCAAATGTGGGAAAGGATCGAGAAATCAATAATTTAAAAAGTAACTAATGTTTATCGAGCTCTTCCTTTATGCTGGGCTCTGTTCTCCTAACATCACTATGTGTGTTAACTCATTCACTCCTCACACATAAGCTAGGTGAGGTAATCAGCACAGAGAAGTTAAGTAATGCGCCCCAGATCACACAGCTGGTAAGTAGGGACCTGGGATAACTATAAATGTGTACTGCAACATTGTAAAGCACAAGGGGACCCTGTGACACTGTACATTTGCATGAGATACAGGAAGAGTGCAGATCAGGGTGGAATAAATGGTTTAGGTGTCTGGCCAAGGGGGTTCTCTGAGAGGAGGTGACAACATGAGCAGGGTTTTGAAGAATGAATAGGAGTATCTTAGGAATCTGGGAGGAAGGGGAAGAGGAGATGCATTCCAGACAGAAGGAATAGCATATGCAAAGAACAGTGTGTTCAAGGTTATCAAAATATGTCTGGTATTACTGGCAGATAAGCACAAAAGCAGTGGGCGGTGGTAAGGGAGGAAGGGGAGCAGGGGTGAGTTAAAGTCAAAGAGAGAAGCAGGGACCGGAGCAGGGCAGGGCGCGGAGTCCTTGTGAGAAGGCTGGGCTTCTTGCAGTTGAGGGGAGCTACCAGTGGGTTTCAAACAGGGCATTTGTGAGGTCAAATTGTAGTGTTAGACATAGGGAGGGTGGTTTTGAGGGCTCCACAGCAGGCAAAGGGGCAAATTAAAGTTTTTGGCGATGAGGATTACTGTTTATTGCTGATAAAAATCAGCAGGGTTTATTGAATAATGAGACAAGGATGGGAAAAGCAGAGTCTGGGATGACACAAGGGCCAGGACTCTAGCTTAGGTGACAGGGTAGACACAGGTGCCATTCAACACAAGCTGGGGTCCCTGCAGGGATTTCCTAAGGCTTGTTCCCCTCCTCAATGCTCTGAATGCAACAAAGCCTCAACCAGAGCTTGAAGGTCAACACAGGCCTCACAATCGACCCAGCCAGAAGTGAGGGAAAAGGCTACTTAGACCCTCAGGTATTGTCTAAGTTGGGCGGGACCAGTTCAACGAAGGCCCATGCCCGCTGCCTTAATGTTTGGAGATGCAGAAGCCACATTGAGGAGCAGGGGCTGGAAATGGCCTTGCATCATAGAGTGAGAGAAATTTGGGGCAGGGAGAAATCCTGGGGGGCAGCGGGGAGGAGGGGTACAGGAGAGCGCAGAGGAGACTGGATCCAGGGAAGACGCCAGTCTGGGTTCTACAGTGTCAAGAGACAGCGGACAACCCCAACTCCGGTGGTGGCAAGGTGGGTGCCTGGAAGGCATGAGAAACCTGGAGCTAACACTGGATCAGACGTTTGCACTTGTGTGATTTAAATGCCTCCTTTTTGCCAAGCCTTCTCTTCAGCATAGACTACTAGGCTCACAAACACCTTGTGTGCGAGTCTGTGCATCTGTGTGGGGAAGGGTGGGGGGAGGCCGAGGGATAAGCTGAGTTCCACAATCTGATGGCACAAGAAGGACCGCCTACAGTGGACAGGGAATTGATCAATAAATGAGGAAACAAGTTTAGCGTCTCTTGGGGATCAGCAGACGCCCTGGTGCAGGTTTTAGACTTCCTCAGGATGTGGGGTTAGACCTTGGGCCAAACTTACCTCACTCTCAATAGGGCAGTGAGAGCCCAGGGGACATGGGAACTGCCCGTGGGTTACATTTCGTAGGAAGGAGAAACATGCAGCCTGGCTGCCCCCTCCTTCCCCAGGCATAAATTTCTAGAATAGGACCATCACCCTACCCTACTTCCCTTATCCCCAAGCCCCCTGGACACTGAGAATGGGTGTGTGGGTCGGAGCCACCGGCTCCATGGTTCCCCTGGCACTTAGCGGAATCAGCTCCCTGAAGCAGGGACCCACCGAAATGCCACAGGAGTGAACTGTGGCTGGGCGCAGGGCTCGCTGGCTACCTTATACCTGTGGGAAGCAGGAACGAGGGGTGTAGGTAACCCTACACTCCTTGGCTGGCCCTTCTCATCAGGCGCTCTGGCCTTGGGAGGTGTTCAGAGGGGTTTGGGAGAGGGAGTAGAATGCTGGGGACACCACTTTAAACCCTGGGGAAGAGTTCACCTGCCTACTGACCTGCCCAACCATGGGATTGACACTGGCTGAGGCTGAATGTTCCATTCCTTTCCTCGTCTCGGAGCTGCCCAGGTCTTTGCCAACCGCACCCACACCTCCACTGCTCACAGACTAAAGCGGGGACAGTCATCCACCTTACCCTCCCTTGTCTAGAGAGCAAGGTTTAGGGATTCTGGGAGAATCTCTCCCAGATTCTCTTATCTCTGTGAAGAAATGTTTTTGATTTCTTTCTCTTTTGTTGCCCATGGGAAAAAAAGCTGACCCATTAGCTCAAGGGCATCTTCCCAGCCCAGGAAGGGCAGGGCTGCTTGGGCGGTACATGAAGGCACATGCCAAGACAGACCCTGAACGGAAGAGGTTTTATGGAACCCAGCTGGCCACAGCCCGTTCCATCCTACCCATTTGTTATTTATGCAATGCAGGAGGCTTTCCAGGCCCCCTCCCCTCTGCTGCCCAACTAGGGCATCGATTGCCCTAATGGCATGGCTCTGCGGTAGCAGGGCTGAGCTGCCCCCTCCCCAAGCACTCCCTGGGCTGCTAATTAGCTGAGGTCCAGACTCCATTTCACAAATGGGGAACTGGGGCCCAGGGGGCTCTGCTGGGAAGTGAGGGGGGGGCTAAGCTTAGCTTCATGCCTTTCCCACCCCTATACCCGCTCTGGCTGGCTCCGTTGCTGACCCAAGGCTAAATTGTGTGTGTGTGTGTGTGTGTGTGGTGTATTTCTACAAGTGTGGACATAGACAGAGGCCAGAGTGGGTAGGTGGGATGTTGGTTCTTTCCTTAGCCCCAGAGAAGGGATAGTCTTTGCACAATGACAGCTCCATAATTCTTAGATTGGATGGCTTTCTGAATGGCTGTGAGGCTACTGAGGGAGATTCTTGGGGCGGAGGGTGCTACAGCTCTCCAATCCCTTCCTGCCCCCACTACTGTGCTTTTGGCTGGGAGCCTTTGTCTCTGACACCTGCCAGCCCAATTCTGGGTGCAGAGGCCTGGTCCCCACAACTGTGGGTGAAGGAGGCTCAAACATACCTTGGGAGAGGGAGGGAGCGGTCACAGGCTCCTAGCATTTACTAGGGATGCAATCCGTTGAAAATGCCTGGCAGAGGTCTTGGATGACAAGACCCAGAGGTAATACCAAGGACAGCAGCCAGGCCCAGTGGAGGAGTGTTGCCTGCCTGGAGCGGCTGAGGCAGAAGGAAGGAGGGTAGGGGGCATTCTGTTAAAGGTACTTGAACCTACAAGCAGCTTTCCCACCCCTACTCGCGTGCCCTAGTAGAGACAAGGCTGCTCCTGGCCCCCGGGAACTGTAACTCACACAGCGCAACACTAAAAGCCCCTCACAAGATGCTCTCCATGCTGCACCAGGCCTCCACTGAAGGGATCAGAGATAAGCTTAACTTTGGAGGAACTCAAGCAGTCTATATCTCATTGAATCCCAGAGAGAAACCTGGCGGGGCTAACAAAAGTACATATGTGAAACCAGCCATGTAAAATGTGAAACGCCATCCACAGCTCCATTTGTACTGTAGTCCTATAGAAATGTTAAATTATTCACCAAAATAGTACATCAGAACCAACCCGTGCCACATGGGCTGGTGATCTGTGGTCCTGGGAACATTTGAGGCCCCCTTCTCAGGGATAAGCTCATAGTGTGGGATGGGGAGGGGCATCTGGACAGCTCCCAGTGTCTTGGCAGGGTCACACCTCCAGGGAGGGTCCAGATCAGGTCTAAATTCTACAGGCCATTCCAGTAGCAAATTTCCGAACTGAGATTGGCTTCAAGGTGGAAACTGTCCATTGCTCTTGAAACCAGCATTGGGAGCTTCCTGCAGGTTTCAGGGCTGTGGCTTCCCCCTTCCTGCAGTACCTTCCAGCCCATGTTTAAGTGGAAAGTGGCTGATACCTGGGAAGTCGCCTCTGAGTTGGGGACCAGGAAGCTGGTGCTGAAAGGCTGGGCTCGGGGCTGCTCTGATCCTCTCCACTACCCCTTCCAAAAATGGATCAATTCATCAGACAGGAGCAATCCATCCCCCACACTCCTCAGCCTCTGCTTTCTTCTCCACCCCAGCATAGACCCTCCTTTCTGTTCCAGCTTCCTGCCGGAAGCACTGGAGAATCTTTTCCCTCTGCACAGATTTAAAATATATTTTTTAAACCTGTTGAAAGGTTTGCCAACATGGACTCCCCCAGGCTGGGTGCAGACCCTTCCTCGCCCTTCCTCACTCCCCTGGCCTGAACCTTTCAGAAACTCTCTCATTGTGCGCTGGCTGGGGACAGGCAGAAGGGTGGGGGTAGGACGCCCATGCCCCACCCCTCAGCCCGCCTTGCCAGGCCTGGGGGAGGGGTGTTGTGAAGATGACAGAATTGGAAGTGAGGGTCCCAGGGGGATAACGTTGGCTGGAGATGTAGCTTCTCTCCCTTCAGGACGGAGTCTGGCCCAACCCGACCCAGCTGGGTTCCTACCATGGCCACGATCTCTTCAGCCAACACTCAATCTTCCCATCCGGTCTTAGATTTATTCCACAGAGAATTCACCACCACCCTCAGGCCAGTGGTCCCATCCCAACTCCACCAGCCCTCGAGCAGACGAGGAGAGTCAGTATAGACTGAAATGGGGCAAGGCCAAGATCACAAAGGAAGGCAGAGGCAGGACTGTAATGAAGGGGGGATGGAAGGGTCTCCTTAGGCCCTGGGCTCCCTCCCCAGACCGTCCTCACCCGGCGCGGGAGGCGCACTCACCGCCGGGACCACTTGGCCGACGGCCGCCCGAAGGGCCGCTTCCACAGCACACCGTAGAGCTGCACTTTGGTGCTGATATCCAACGCGTCCGAGTCAGCCTGCTCCAGGGACGGCGAGGGCGACACCGAGTTGGACTTGGACAGGAACATCCTGCCACAGGAGGGCTGCCTCCGGCCTGACCCACCCACTCCCGGGGCCGGCAAGGACGCTGGGCTCCGGGCGAGGGTGGGCGCCGTCGGGGAGCGTCCCAGGCAGCGGAGACGTGGAGCTGCGGAGTGCGGAGCTGCTGCATTAAAGCGCGCGGGCCCAGAGCGCGGCGCCGAAGGGGCGCGGGGCGCGCAGCCTGCGGCTAGGGTTCGGGATTGGGGAGGGCCGGGCGGGAACTCGGCGGGCAGAGCGGCTCAGCATCCAGCCAGCAGTATTCCACCCCCCACCCCCCCACACTCCCCGCGACGGCCCCAATTCTGGTGGCCCGGATTGGCTGGGCGGGGCAGGTGAGCTAGCTGGAGGCCAGCCGAGAGCGCCAATCAGTGCGGGCGCCGGCTGGAAGGCCGGGCTCCGTGCGTCCGGAAGGTCCCGGCGGGTCGCTCGGCCCGGGATGCGGCCATAGCGCTTCCCCACCCCCACTTCTCGCCCCCATCTCTGCCCCGGGTTCCTTCTCGTGTGCAGCGCCTAGATCGGAACTGGGAACACGTCTGCTTATGATGGGTTTGGCGTTACCCCTGCAGAGCCCTACTTGCCTCTGGGTGGGAGAGAGCAAGAAGCAAGGGTTTGGGGGTCAGACAGCCAGGCTTGGAAACCCCTCAGTCCTAAACGTAGCTCCGTGAAGCTGCGGCGAGCCTTGGTTTTCTCACCCGTAAAGCGAAATGCTTGTATTCTCCTCGAGCAGGGCGTTGGCCAGGTGAGACTAAGGTAAGTGCCGGAAGCGCCCGCCGGAGAGGAGGCTCTATCTGGGGCCGCAGCCGCTCCCTGCCCTCCCCGCCCCCTCGGGTGGGTTTCGTTTTGCACCGCCGCCGCATCGCCTGAATCAGGTTTCTTTTCCCCGAACCTGGCAGTCTGCGTCGGCATTTGGCACTCAGTGCCAAACCCAAACAGTCAGTGCAGTTGGTGTCTGTGATTTATCTGCGCGCCTGGCCCATGCTTCCTGGCGCCCGGCGCTCCATTCACTTCCGCTCCTCTCCGTGGCTCCAGGTGACAGTCTCACTTTCAGGCCCTGGCAGACGTCTGTCGGGCTCCTGGGAGCGGCCTGCGGGGAAAGCTGTTTTCGCATCGCTGCCTGCCGGCACCCCTCCAAAACCACGGAAGGGAGTTTGCGCAGGAAGAGGCTGCGGGCTAGAGCATGCTGCAGTGGTCCTTCCCGGGCTGAGGAGCCACTGGCTATCTCGGGACCGGCAGGACTCACCCACGCCCTTGGGAAAACCACTTCCCCCTCAGTCTCTGATTCCTCATATGTTAGGTAAAGAAGTCCAATTGAAACAGAATTTGCAGATGGGTATCCAGAGAGCCAAATCAGTTTAGAGATAGACTTTATTAACTTGCCCAAGTAAAAAAAAATGAGGTGTAATTAATATATGATAAAATGCACAGATCTTAAGTATTTCGTTGATGAAGTTTATCTGATGAATGTATACACCAAGGAACCACCATCCAAAGCAAGATGCAGAGCATTTCCAGCACCCCAGAAAGTTCCCTCATGCTCCTGTCTAGTCAATTCCATCCCCTCCCCTCCCGTCCAGGCAACCACTTTAATTCTTAACATTTGCACACTTTTTTTTTTTAAGATTTTATTGGGGAATTGGGGGAGGGGAACAGACAAGTTGCTGTCCTTTTGTTCTTCAGTCTAGTTGTGGAGGACGTCGCTTCACTGGCCCATGTTGGTATTATCATTGCGCTCGTCCCAGGTGAGGCAGATTGGTCGCCAGTCACTGAAGGGCCGCTCACGGCTCTTGGCAGCTCACGCGGGCTGCTAGCCGCTCATGGTAGCTTTACAGCAGCCCACTGCAGCCTACGCTGTCGCCAGTGACTCACCACAGCCCAGCTCCAAGTCGAGCTGTTGCTCATCATCTTAGCTGTAGAGGGCGCAGCGTCACTGGCCTATATGTGGAATCGGAACCTGGGCCCTGCTGCTCAGAGCTGGCGTCCCAAGCCAGCTCTTAACCAACGTGCCACTTGGCTGGCCCTGCACACCTTTTTTAAAATTAAAAATTTTAATGCCTAAAATGTCATTCTATGCAGAGCCACCATCCTTTCCTCAGCCTGCTTCCCTCATTTACTGCCTGCCTGGCTCCTCTTTGTAGGCATCCAAGTTTGTATCCTGACTGGATGTTTCCTCAGGCCTTCCCAGGTCTAACATTTTATGACTCTAGTTAAGAAGGGGCTCCCCAAAGGGCTCCACACCCTGGCCCCCTTCCCCTAACCAACTCTGGGTTCCCAAGCCCAGGCAATATGCCCTTGTTGCTTACTGTCCAAAGGGGCCCATCTGAACTCCCTCGCGTCCCTCATGGGGCACGTGCCCCTGCAGGACATCTCAGGCCTAGCCTTAACAACAGGCTCAGGGTCTGGGTTCCTCGGTGGGAAGAGACAGGACCAGGAAGATGATGAGAGCCCATGTGCAAAGTGAACATTTCACACATATGTGGCTATTGTTGACACGTTGTAATGTTGTGGAAATTTCCCACTCTGGGAGTCCTGCTGTTCCTAGATGGGAGGTAGAAAACTTTGTGTTAGAAGCCTGTGGTATGGACTCCACTTCTCAGGGCCACCAGGATAGGACTTTGAGTTGCAGGTGACAAACATGAGGAAAAAGCATACCCAGGCATCAGTTTTCTCAAGGGAAGGTGGTACCAAAGGCATCTGACTTGCTTTGAAGTCTGCTGTGGCTGCAAGGTTGCGTTCCCCATGCAGCAAGCAGCATTTGCACTGGCTGTGGTGGCAGTCATGAGTAGGCAGGCTCCTGGCTGCACACAAATGACAGCATCAAGTGCTTGGTGGCAGCAACAGCTTCCTCCCCAGGTTGCTTCCGCAGCATGGTTTTGGGTAGCATTCCCAAAGGTCAGGCCTGGCTCGCAAGCCCTGCCAATATCTGTTTAATAAATTAATTCCTTTTCTGCTCAATAAGGTCATTACTAGCTTTGGCTGATTGTAATGAAGGACTAAATGAGCTTGTGAGTCATAGGTGGGAAAAAGGCAGGATACCTGGAAAAATCATTCTTAAGGAGGTCCTTCCCAAGGAGAAGGACTGGGTGAGCCCAGATGGTTCCTGGGAAAGATTTGGTGTCTTCAATGGAAGAAACAGAGTACAAGTTTCTTCAGTGGCAAAGAGAAACCAATCTTTGTCCATCCCTTCTGTGTACAGGACATCTAAACAGACCTCAACAAATGGCAAGTGGAAAGACTCCCCTGAGACAAATAGCATGAGTTTGATGGACCACTAGATACTTAAGTGGCTTCTGCTTCACTCAACTAACCAGCCCAGATCATGACAAGTCAGCCTTGGGAGAAGCTGTTTCTGCTTGCAATGTGCTCTCTGCTCTAGCTGGTGTGGGTGCCAAATGCCTGGCAGACAGTTCTGTGGAAGACAAAACAAACTGGGTGCCAATCCAGTGTCCCAGAGCAAGTGTGGGCCAGGGCTGACCAATCTCATCAGTCAGGGACAGAAACTCAGGGTCTTGAGAGTCCTACATACTCAGACACAGAGCTGATGTTTAAATATATTATTTACATTTAATCCATTTAATTTTTGAAACAGCCCCAATGAAGTGCATTTTACTTGGAGTTTTCCAGATGAGAAAAATGAAGTTCAAAAATATTATTTTTCTAAGGTCACTCAGCTAGTTATTTCCTAAAACATGATAGGCCCTCAAATATGTGTTAAATGAAAGTGGCAGGATCAAGATATAGCTACTTGATTTGGTTTGAATATTAAGCCCATACTTGTCACACTGCAGCACAGTGCCATGTGACATGCAAGACTATCTACTCAGTCTTGCCCTTTTTTCTAGTAATTTCTTTTAATTGCCAACTCACCTAAGGTTCAAAGTTCTTGTAAAATTGAAGATGCAATTCTACTTGCACTATAAAATTCCAGCTTCTCAGATGTGTTTAGGAATAGATTCCTAATAATGAACACACATTTTCTTTTTCTTATAGTTCTTATCCCCCCTCCAGCTTTATTAAGGTGTGATTGAAAATAAAAATTGTATATATTTAGGTTGTACAACATGATTTTTAAAGGTGTACAATGTGATTTAATATACGTATACATTGGGAAATTCTTAACCACAACCAAGTTAGTTAACATATCCATCACCTCACAGTTACCATTTTTTGGGTAAGTGTGGGGAGAACACTTAAGATCTAGTCTCTTAGCAAATTTCCAGTATACAATATTAACTGTACACTATATCCCCAGAACTTACTCATCTTATAACTGAATGTTTGTGCCCTTTGACCAACTTCCCCCCATTTCTCCCCCACCTCTACCCGCTGGCAACCACCATACTACTCTCTGGTTTTATGAATGACTTTTTAAGATTCCACATGTAAGTGACATCATATAGTATTTGTTTTTGTCTTTGGCTTATTTCACTTAGATTAATGTCCTCCAGGTTCATCCATGTTGTTGCAAATGGTAAGATTTTATTCTTATTTATGGTTAAATAATATTCCAGTGTGTGTGTGTGTGTGTGTGTGTAACACACCACATTTTCTTTATCTGTTCATCCATCAACAGATACTTAGGTTGTTTCCATATCTTGGCTATTGTGAATAATGCTGTGATACTAATTTCATTTCCTTTAGATATGTTTCAGGAGGGGGATCACTGGGTCATATACTAATTCCATTTTTAATTTTTGAGGAACCTCCATACTGTTTTCCATAATGGTTGTACCAAGTTACATTCCCACCAACAGTGCACAAAGGTTCCCTCTTCTCCAGTCTTGCCAACCCTTCTGTCTTGTCTTTTTGACAGTAGTCATCCTAACGAGTGTGAAGTGATATCATTGTGGTTTTGATTTGCATTTTCTGATGATTAGTGATGTTGAGCATCTTTTCGTGTATCTGTTGGCCGTTTGTACATCTTTAGAAATAAGTTTATTTCCAAATTCAGGAATTCAGGACCTTTTCCTGTTTCCTAATCAGGTTGTTTTTTTGCTATTGCATTGTATGAGTTTCTTATACATTTTGGATATTAATACCTTATCAGATAAATGGTTTGCAAATATTTTTTCCCATTCCATAGGTTTTTCCATTTTATTATTTCCTTTACTGTACAAAATATACATTTTCATAATGTTACTTTTATCCATAGCCTGCAGACTCATGTGATGATCACCATTCTTCTATGAAACAGGTATTATTAGCATGGTCATTTTATAACAAGCCCATGGCAGTTAAATGTGTGAGTACTGACTAGGATCCAGCTCTCTGATCTTATA